CTAAGAGCCAGCAAGTCACCACATCCAGGCGACAAAGAACAGCCTGAGCCTATGCAAAGGCGTTTTCCGTGGAAAACGGTAAACAAGAACCAAGACCCTCATCGGAGGAAAACGAGCATCAAGTAGGAGAAAAGAGCAACACTGAATCACAGATCCTCAGACAAGCATTTGGGGATATAAAAACCACCCTGAATAATACATTTTAAAACTAAAAATGAAAAGAGAGTAAAAAAGGGAGAAAGTCTTAAGAAAAAAAGGCACAATCACATCAGAAATGAAGGCTGAATTGCAAGGTGCCCAACTGAGAAGACATTCAGATAAAAACGCAGCCAGGGAGCGACAGGGCGGCAGTACACCCAGCCCAGACAGCTGTCGGAGAGAACGCAGTCGAAATGAAGACAGCCAAGAAGCAGAGGCTCGGGCAAAGTAAAACATAATCAAACAACTTATAAAACTAGCACACAAGAAAAAGTTCCAGGAGTTAACAAAAAAGGCCTTTACCACAAAGAAACAAGACTAACAGCAGTATGTGCTCCTGAGGTGAGTCACTCCCAATCAGTGGGGAATGTCACAAAGGGAAGATCACTTTCCCTGGCAACAGAGGACGAACCCTGTAAGTTTCACCGAGGAAACACCACGTTTGGTAGCATGTCACACTGATTGGCAACGTCGGCTTGATTTACTGTTGGGTATGTTCAAACTATGATATTCAGAACAGAGCTGACCCCAAAGTGATGGTGTTCAGGCCCCACTGCTGCCTGCTGCTGATGGCTGAGTTTTACGCTGGTGGGAACATTCTTCTGTCCACACATGTCCAGGGGCGACCTACACCACAGATTCACCCTCTAACTGTCATTGGTCAGGTTATCTGTTACCTGAGAAAACTACCTAAAGTCCTCTAAGCAAAAAGGTCAAACACTAAGCCATCCCAAGGCGAAAGAGTGGGCGCCTCGGGCTTCCAAACCCGGCAACCCCAGCCCCGCGGCCTGGGGACGAAGCCTGAAGCAAAAGCGCAACACACATGGGAGAATATACAGATCTTGTTATGTTCCCACAAACTAAGAACTAGTGCAACGGAGATTTAAGGGTGGGAAGGAGGGAGGCGGCAAACGACACCACAAACCGAATCAAGGTTCAGAAGAGAGGGCCAAGGGCATATAAACGGGCGTGGGTACAGTCACTGGAACGAAACGGCAGGTGCTCCTGAATGCCAAACGAAGGCTTAAATGGAACAGGCAAAATCAGATGGAGAAGGAAACACAGCCAGTGAGCTCTGGGTAATAATTATGAAACAGAATAATATAAGCGGGTCAAGACAAACTTCAGCCACAACAATAAAGGCGAAGGGGCTGCACTTATCTACAAGAGAAACAGACTTTCGATCTGGCTCACAGGCGAGATGAGGCCTCAGGCATGCCTGAGACAGGCTGCCCCGTCAGCAAGCAGGGCCATGGTCCTGAGGAGAGGTGGCACAGCAGCAGGCAAGCCCCAGAGGCTCCAGATGTGACAAAGAAGGACACTGTCGTCTCAATGGAGTCGTGAGGGTTGTGACTGTAACGCCACAGCTACAGGAGATGCAAGGAGACAGACACAGGCCATCATCAGTGCGGAGACCGGGGGAGGAAAGGAAGCTGGGATATAGAGGACAAAACGCCACCATCAATGGCACAGACCTTACAGACGCAGGTCGAGCCCCCGGACAGCTGAGCGCGCTCCCTCGGGCGCACGGGGAACATTTACCAAGAAAATGTCGGGAACTCCATGAAGCAGAAATATCACAAACACTCTGTTCACAAGCTGAACTAAAAATCATTAAGAAAAAATTTTAAAAACCACAAGGCCCCTCCCCCTGCACATTCAGTTGAGTGTGTTCCTCCGTGGACGCCCTGCCATGTGAGCCACTCCTGCTCCCTCGCAGGTCACTACAGACCAGTACAAGCGTTCTCACAGACGGGTGTTCGGCAAGCATCCCGCTGCACCTGATGCCTCATGCCCTCATCCTGCCACCAGTGTCTGCCCGCTTCTGTGCCCTGAATGGCTTGCCACTACCTACCCAGCTGCCCAGGCCACAGACCTGGACTTTCCCCCACCCTCAGCCTCAAGCCCCAGACTCATCCATTCTCCCGTACGCCGTCCCTCCCGAATTCTCCTGCCTTCAGAGTCTGCCTAATCGGCCTGGCATGGGGTCAGGGTCAGTTATTGTCCTAAGAGCTCTCTGGTGACTCCACCTTGGGACCAGGGCTAGGAAGCACCTGCAATGCAGAAGTCACACCTCACACCACCTGCCTCAGCAGGCCTCGCCCGGCCCAGCCACATTCCCTGCCATCTAAGCCTCGGGGTCACTCCTCCAGGCTCCTAAGGGTGACCCCAGTGGAATGCTCCTGGGAGCGGCTTCCACGGTGCCGCTCCACTACAGCACTTACTACGGTGACACCGCAGGAACCAATTAGTTATCTGTCGCTCCCGATGACACTCTGAGCTCCTCAAACTCAAGGATCAGGTCTTTACCCTCACACAGGAGGGGGTCCGCAAGGAGCTCAACTGAGGTGTTACTGCGAGGACAGCGCGTGGGCAGGGCCGGCGCAGGACGTGCCCGGCAGGAGGGACGGGGAAGACACGTGGCCAAGCCAGAGATCTCGGCCCAGCAGGGGAGGGGTGCCCAAGGAACCCCTGGAAACTTTCTCAGGGTTGATTTATGTAAGAATCTCACCCACTGAAACAGGTCTTCCCATCATCGTTGCTGCAACTCAGCTAATTTCCTGAAGGACATTCCAGGGTCGCTTCCTAAGTGGTGTGTTGAGGAGTCAAGTCTATTCTGAGCTTAGGCAACAGCCACAAAACGGGGGCATTCCCTGCCTGTTTTCTTTTGTCTGAGCCCACAAACCCAGGAACGATACAAAAGCCTTTCTGACAGTAACTATTTCACAAAAGGGAACACCAGCATAAAGTCGTCCCTGTCGCAATGCCAAAGTTGAATTAAGAAACAGTAACTGGGCACAGTGAAATCTCAAAAATTATAAACTCCTACCCTCAAATTTTCCTGCATGCTTCCAAGTTCTTTCCTCTTTACATTGTAATTCCTACTGCCCCATCCTCTGTACCATCCGCTGTGATTTTTAAAAGACAGGACCCCTTTTAAAAGCAAAGGCCCTCCAAGAGACGGGCTGAAGCCTTTCCCCACCCCCGGCGAGTGGCAGGGACCCAGCGTGGGCACCGCCTGGTCCCGCCGCACCGGTCCGGGCTACGGGGAAGCACCAGGAGAGGCCCTTCCCGGGAGGCGAGTGTAACCCCTTATTTGAGTGCCAGCGGGTCAAGGACCCAGAGGCAAACATCTATAGAGGAAAGCCGGAGGGAGGGGTGGGGGGAGCAGCAGAGGGCTGGTGCCCTCCAGTGTGAAAAGGGGGTGCAGCGGAGCCCCTACTTCGCACAGCCGCTCAGGCAGGCCTTCTGCATGGCGTCTATGGTGTACCGCAGGAACTCATGTGCATCCTCCTGGTTCCCAAAGCGGAAATGCCGGGCGATCTCTACAGAGGGAAGAAAGAGGCGTCAGGTNCGTGAACCCCCAAGCCCCTCGCGGACCGCGCAGCCTCGGACTCTCCCCGCGGACCCCCACACCCTTCATGGACCGCACGGCTCCCGGCCCTCCCCGCGGACCCCGGAACCCTCAGGGATACGCACTCACGTTTCTCCGGAGCGCCCCCGGGTGCGCCCGCGTAGAGGCCGCACCTTCCCGCGCCCCAGGCCTGGCAGAAACCCTCGCTTTGGCCAGACCCGCAGCCTTCCCCCGGCCCGCATGCCGCCCAGACCCGGCCCCTTCCTACCCGGCCCTCGCCCGGCACGCTGCAGCCCGCTGCGCTTGTCGTCTGCTCGGCCTGGGCCCCGCACACTCACCATCCGGGCCCTCGGCGCTTCACACACGTGTCACGGCGACCCTTAAAGGCGCCGCGGCCCGGGGCCCCAGCTGGGGAACGCATATATGCCCCGGCAGCTTTAAGAGGCGGGGCTGGCTTCTGCCCCACTCCCTGGGCCCGCCCACAGCCTCTTTACGCGCCGGAAACGTCACCTTCCCGTCCCGCGGCCCCGCCAGCTTACGTAATGACGCAAGCACGCAGAGCCGGAGACGCCTCGCCCCTTTGGCTCGAGCCGGGAGACTTCCCGCAGAGCACGTGAGGCGCCTGCTTCCGGGCTGCGCGCGCCGGCGCGGGCGGCGAGCGCACCTGCGGCGTTGAGTTCCGCGCCTCATTGTCACCTGCCGTTTGGCGGCGGCGCGGAGGGCTGAGTGTGACCGTCTAGGCCCTTTGTGAGCAAGACGCAGGCCGGAGGCGATCAGGGCGAGGCGCGTCCGCGGGCTCTGCGCGAGTCCCTGACCTCGCCCGCTCCAAAAGCGTCACCCCTGACGACCACGTTAAGGCTTGGGTTGAACGTTTGTCGATACGCATCGCTTTCGCAATGCTGAAACAAGCGCCTTTCACCGGAAGCGGCCCCGTTGGCCGAGGGCAGGTGGAGCGAGAGCCGTTCCCAGCCCGACCTCTGGTGGTGTTCTCCCGGAATAGACGCCTTTCCCCAAAAGGCACAACTTCCGGTGCACAAGCCCGTGGGATGCCGCGTCTTGTCTTCTTGTCCCCCGTCCCCCAGATGGGGAGCGAGAATGGGTGTCATCGGAACAAAACTCGCCTTGTAGTTATTACGTGGGGCCTGGGGGTTGGTTTTTTGTTGTTGTTGTTTTTTTTAAGCAAATGAGCAGAAACAAAACCATCGGAGCCTGCTCCTTACCCGTGAGCACCCTCCCCTAAACTTCGGATTGAGGTGAGTCGCGCTGTGCCCTCAGACAGTGATCGCAACAAAGACGGTTGTCACTGTCCCAGGCCTGACACGATGTGTGCTAAGCGAGCGAGCGATTGAAAGTGCGGCGGCAGGTTGGGAGGGGCAGCCGGCGGGGCCGCGGGGACACGGGTTCTGGTCCAACTCGGCCCCGATGAGCAGGTTTTTTTGGGGGACACATCTTGTAACTAACCCGGGCCTCCATTTCCTCATCAGAGAAGACCTGCCCACGTCTCTTTCATTCTTCTAATAACAAAAGCAGCGACATCAGCTTCTCTTGCGGAGCTCAGGGCTGCCACACACCGCGCTGGCCACCTGACCACCCTGTGTCTGATGGGATCCTCATGGCAACCCTACGAAAAGATACTGTTCCCGTTCTGCAGATGAAAACACCGGAGTTGTGCAAGACCCCAGCGAGCAAGTGGCGACCTGAGGGTTTACTTAGACCCCGGTGTATGTCAGGCTCCAAGTTCACACCTTTAGCTCAGGCTCTGGGGAGGTGGGGGTGGGGGTGTGTGACTTGCACACGCTCAGGAGATGACAGAGGCGCTGCCTGACAGCCCTGCATGCTGCTTGAGAATGTAAACCGAGGCCTTGATCTTGGGAAGAGCCCTCCGCCACCCACATCCCCGCGCTGCTTCCCCTTCAATTCCGTCCCAGAAGCCTCCGGAGTGGAGCCTCCGGAGTATGTTCACATGGGTCCATGCAGAAGTCCGTCCTAAGTACTCAATCTCAAAGGTTACCTGAAAAATGCCAATTAAAACCTCCCGTGAGGTCCATGTCACCTCCTCTAGAGCAGCTAAAATAAAGACTAGATGTTGGAGAGCATGGAGAGCATATATTGGGTTGTCGGAAAAGTCATGACACATTTTTTTGCAACGAAAAACATAGAAAAAAATACGTCATGACTTTTCCGACAACCCAATAGATCCTTGGTAAGCCGGTGGGGAGTGGAAGAGGATGCAACGGTTTTGGAAACTCATGTAAATATTTCTTTTAAGTAACGCGAGGACTTACCCTGTGAGCACATCCATTGGTCACCACTGTAGGCTGCTCAGTTCCAAATGCACAGGTGCAGACGTCCTCCCCGACCTTTGGAGTCGGGGGTCCAGCAAGTGCCTCCTGGACATCTCCCCCTGGAGGCCCCACAGCACCTCAGAGTCACCTGCCCAGTAATGGCGCATCCCCACCGTCCCCTAACCTGGATTGCTGTGCTGGGGCTCGGGTCAGATCCTGCCCTTTTCAGCTCTTTCCTTGTGAACTGGCTTGGGGGTGGGGGAAGTCTGGCCGCTGGGTGCCCTGGCACGACTGGAGAGCAGAACGAAGCAGAAGCAGGGCCATTTTCTCCCTCTCGGCTTTGAGTGGAGTTCCTGGCAGTGGTTCCAGCTCCAACCGGAGAGGCACTCTGTGGCCCCAGCCTCTCCACATAAAAGACTTCTTTAAAGAAAGATTTTATTGAGCCAAAAATGCTAACCAAAATGAAGACGGGTCTTGGGGCATGAAGTCCAAACCACCAGCAGCATGGCTAGGTGGGAAAGACGTGCATACAGGTCCACTGACTTTGGCGTTCGCAAGCATTTTTATACGTCAAGCAAGGGGAAGGGGGAAGAAAGACGCAGGTGTCTGCAAGAATTTGCATGAGCTGTAGGCAAAGGGGTGGGAGGAGGTGACATGGGCCAGCTCTGAGATGGAGTCCGAAAAAAGAAACGTCCACTCCTGCAGCCGAGGCTGGCTGGGAGAATCTGCAGAAAGACTCACCTGGAAATTAATCCAAACTTCCAACGGACATAGGAGGCCTGTGAGCAGTCTTTTGGTAGCTGGCCCACAGCCATTAACAGAGTAACAGCTCTATCTCTACCTGGCGTCTATAATTCAATTTACAACATCTCTGAATTTTCTCCTTGTCACTTCCATCAGGATGTAAGCAACCCCTGCATACATACCCCTGCCCCATTTTAAAGGCTGTATGGAGTGGTTTTGGTGTTCCTGGTTGGACCTGCGCCGATATAGGACAGAAACCCCACTGGGCCAGCATTTTGGGCTCCTCTCTCTCTCACCCCATGTAACTCATCAGTCAACAGATTTTACTAATTTTACCTCTTAAATAGTCCTCAAACCATTCCCCCGGCTTCATCCAGTTGCCCAAGTAACGCCCCATTCCATCCATTGCATTATTAAAATAGCCAAATGTATTGCTCAATCTGCCAAATATATTTTAAAAGGCCTAACTGAATATATTGCACTCGTGTCTGAAACCCTCCTGTCCCCTGATGCGGATGGGACAGCCAAGCTCCTCAGCTTGGTCTCTAATGGCCCCTGGGGGCTGGATCCTGCCTGCCTTTCTCCCCTCATCCCTAGTCACGTCCTGCCCTGGGTCCGTCAGCAGAGTAAATCTCAGTGACCCCAGACTCGCATCAGGCTGTCTCTGCTCCAGGCTCAGGCTGGTCTTTGGCCTAAAATTCCCTTTTCCACTTGGCCTTCAACCACCACCTGTGGCATCACTTCCTCCAAGAAGTCTTCCTGGATCTCCCCCCTATCCCTGCCACTAGGTTGGCACTGCCTTGGGCTGGCCTGCACATTCCACTTATACATTCAGTTGGAATGCTCCCTGGCATTCTCCTTCCTCTCCTACCATGACTCTTAAGAGCCAGCACGACGCCTTACTCATCTGTGTGCAAGTCTAAGCAAAGCATCCCCACCGCTGTTGGGTAAGCTGCTTCCACCTTAGCCGCATCTCGGTAAGGCGCCCTGTGGTCCCTAGAGGTGCCGAGGAAGGCGAGCAGGGGCAAGCGCTACTGAAGAGCGGGGCCCGGGAATCTGCCTCTGCAAGGGCTCAAATCCCAGCTCCAGGGCTTACTGGCGGGGTGACCAGGTAACTCCGCTTCCTGCACCTGTTTCCTTATCTATCAAACTGGGAAGATGAGAGGACTGATTTCTCAGAGTTGGCAAGCGTTACATGAGAGAACGTCTGTAAAACTCTTAGCACGAGTCCTCGCATGGAGTAAACATTAGCCATGACTGGAATTACTAGAGGTATTGGAACGATTTCCTAAGTGGCTGCCCATGGAAGTCTAGCTGCGGAGTCTCCTGAGCTGGGGGACAGATCACAAAAGAAAATGGACAGGACCTGTAAGCCAAAACGAGTTACCCGAGACTGCCCTCCTCTGGAAGCCCACTTACCAGGGTGGATTTCAGGAGGGTACCCCCATTCTCTGGTAAGAATGGCTCACGGGAGCCATTCCTTCTGGGAGGCTGGAGCTGTGCTCCGTGATGGTCAGAGGCTGCACAGCCAGCGCCCCATCGAAACCCAGGGGCCAAGTTTCTAATCAGATCCCTTGGGGATCTTGCTCCTGATCCTCTCCTCACCCCCGACTCCACTTAAAGGGGCAAAGCAAGACTTAACAACTTTCGGCTTGCTTTATTTCTAGTTAACACAGCACAACCTCTGCACCCCATCTTGGATCCCATCTTCAAATCCACTCACCCTTTCTCTGTGACCCCCACCCCGACCCCTGGACACTGCACCATCCCGCAGGTTCCAGTTTGGATTCCTCTCATGTTTTTGTTTTAACTGGAAAGAAAGATTTCCCCCAGTTGCTACAGAATGAAAGTGTGTGGAATTACTGTAGCTCATGTTTTGGAGGTCTCTTCTTTTCACACTCCATTTGTTTCTTGGAGAAAACCTGCAATTAGAGCTAAATGATCTCCCCAAATCAAAGCACCACCTTTCACTGCACGATGACTGAAGGCACTTGCGTGTGCCAAGGTGCATTGTGGGTCAGCTCAAAGCTCGAACCCAGAGTTGGAGGTAGGCCTGTTCTTGAATTTCAAAGTCTTAACGCACAGCCTATGGTAACAGCACATGGCCCGTAATACAACTGACCCCAGCAAAGTATCTGTAGGTCCACGATTTTGGTTTCCTTTTTTTTTTTTTTTAAGTTAAGAGTAGGTAAACATATACAGGAGAAAGTAACAGAGAAAAGACTTACAAAGTATCTCGCTGGTCCTGGAGGCTCTTCCATCACCCTCCCCTTGTCTAAATTGGACTCTGCAGGGTCTGCTGCTGCATTTCCACTTTGAACCCACATGTGTCTGTTGGGTGTTTGTTCTGATCAGAGAGCCAGGCTGTCCTTAGCTGACCCCATTCCCTTTTCTCTCACGGAATAAGCAAGGCTGAGGGGGAAATAGTGATGTCTGGTGGAATCTTGAACAATCTGGTCACCCCATGTGTGGGTCTTCAAACGGATTTAACATTGTTTGCACAGGTCAAGAAAACTTGGATAATTGTCAGAACTGGATCAGGGGTGCGTGGAGTTTGTTGTATCGTTCTCTCATTTTTGCGTACATTTGAAGATGTCCATAGTGAGCAGTGCTTTTCAAAAGTCATGTTTGACCTAAATACATAAATGAAAATTGTCTGGAGTTGTTTGCTAAGACTCCCAATGTGGCGTGCAGCCTGGGACAGGCACAAACGCTGGTAAGGTCATTTGTATGACACAAAGTTTTTATCCTATTTTTCTAATATGCTGCTATGAACCATTTTCCCCATATATTTCACTATATGGGGGGAAAAAATCCAAATGTTTCTGCAGCTGGGGACATTAAATGGATGGCATTTAACACTTTGTGACACAGACATTAGCAGAAACTTTGTCCCACTAACTCTTTACTGCTTCAGAAAGGCATTAGTGTTTGTTTTTGCAGATTAGGCAGAAGTTGCATAAAATGGGACGCATAAATCTTCTGGCGTGTCCCTGGAAAAACAAATACTACACATGGGCCGGGGTTCTAGTAAACCATTCAAGAATTCTCTTGGTTCAAGTTTAAGTTATGATGGGGCCATCTTTCCCAGCCCACGAGAAAGGTGGGGAGGGGGAAGAAGAAAGAAGGGGGGCCCGCAGAAAAAGAGACTTGAGAGAGCAATTGCAACACATGCACCTGAATTGGATCCTGATTCAAACCAATACACCATAAAAAACAGCACTTACAACACTGTCAGAGACGTCAGAATGCTGACCAGGTATTCGATGACATTCATGGTTTCTAAGTTTTTAAGGTGTGGTAAAAGTATTTTGGGGATGTTTTTAAAAAGTGGGTTTTTTTAAAATATTTTATTGGGGAATTGGGGAGGGGAACAGTGTTGGGGAATTGGGGAAGGGGACCAGCCAAGTTGTTGTTCTTCAATCTTCGTTGTGGAGGGCGCCAGTCGCCATCTGGCTGCCCATCGGCAGCTCGTGGCCTCTAAGCTCAAGGTGCTGTGTTACAGTCTTAAGTTGTGGGTGGACGTAGCCACCATCCCATGAGGGAGTCGAACCAGCAGCCTTGTTGTTAAGAGCGCACGCTCTATCCACTGAGCCATCCAAGTGGCAGCTCAACTCAAGGTGCCGAATCAGTCTTAGTTGCGGGTGGGCGTAGCCCACCATCAAACAGGCAATCTTGTTACACCAGCTGAGCCATCCTGCCACCTGTTGGCAGCTCAGTGACAGCTCAGCTCAGGCGCAGCATCACTGGCCCATGTGGGAATCGAACTGGTGGCCCTGTTGCTCAGAGCTCACACTCTTAAGCCAACTCTTAACCAATGAGCCACTCGGCCGGCCCAAGTTCTTACTTTTTTTTATATATGTACCGACACACTTAGAGGTGAAGCTGTGATATCTGCAATTTTCCCTTCCTGATAATCTTGGGAGGGCAGAGAGGGCCCGAATCGCTTCCTGTCAGGGATGGAAGGTGGGGGCGGGGCTTTGCTTTTCTCTGTGTGTTAACAGAACGTCAGACATCCATGCCAAATGAACAAGGGGCCCTGTCCTACGCTCCCAACTGGCCAACTTCAGAAGATCCTGCTCTTGGCCTCTGCTGCATCTCGTGTTCCCTCAGTGCACCCAGGCCTGTCTCTCTTGGGGACGAATCACTACCCTGCCCTCCATGGAGAGGCTCCTTTGAGATGTTTGCCTCCGTGTTTCAGCTAGAAAGCAGCAGCTCTGAGCAGCGGACATAGCCACACGGAGACAGCCAAATTCTCTTGGATAATACTGTTTATTGTCCGTTGACCGAGTGATCACTCAAGAACGATACAAAGCACTGGACATGCACAGTCTGCTTGTCGACTTTCAACAACTCTCGTGTTCCCAGCACAGGAAGGTCTCAGACTTCATATTCCAGCAAAAACACATTGCCCCAAAATTTAAAAAACAAAGTTAAAAAAAAAAATCTGAACAAACAAAATCAACAAAGCTTTAAATTACGGCAGCAAGTCCGATATTTCTTATTACTTATCAAGCAAAGATTCGAAAATAACTACAATGTAAACTTTATTTTAAATATTTTGAGTTGCTTGCATGAAGACAAGAATAGAGGGCGGCAAGAGCAGTGCTTAGAATATAACATATAAATTAAACAACGCCAAATGGAGAGCCTTCTGAAACTATATATATATATTGCAATTATTGGCCGTGAAGGTATTTGAGTGGCTTTCTCTCTCAGCTGCCACTGGGCACTTCTTGATTTTTCTTTGATTTTTGTTCCCTCTGCTCAGCATGGCTAACAGACCAATGTGCAGGGATAGATAATAAAGGCCATCTTTTAAAACCAACCGACTCAAAGATCCTTTTTTTTTTTGTATAATAATTCAAATCATAGAACAAAAGGGGAAGACAGGGAAAGCAATGATACTCAAAGAACTAAAGACAAGAGCTGCAGGGACCACCATCAGAGCCAGGACCATGCTTTCCACTCTGGGTCATATGCTTCCATGATGCAGAAACCTTTCAAAAACAAAAGTGCAAGTCTAACACCTACCAAGGGTAATAAAAAACACAGCACAGGAATGATTACAACTGATGTCAGAAAACAAACCAAAACATTTAAAAAATCAGCAGAAACAGGAGTAAATGTTACATATGATAACACCATAGAAGCCAACGGGGGTGGGGTGGTATATTGATTGGAGGGTCTGGTGTTCTCGTATATACTGAAATTATACGGACTGGTCCATTACGACACTTTACAGACTTTATACCACTGTACAGCATGAATGCGCCGGTGGAGTGGGGCTGATTTCTGGATCTTTTCCTAGTCTGCCCTGGAAAGGGAAGTCATCAAAATCTATGCTGACCAGGTCCCGGGCGGGCATGGGGGCTGCATGCCACTGGGGGGTCAGGAGTCTTACAGGTGCTTTGGGGGTCACCACAGAATAGAGCAGGCTTAGAAGATGGTGACCTGGAAGCATTGCAAAAGGATCACTCACAGGCTGACAGACCTCAGTTTCATTGTGTGTGTGCATGTGTGTGTGCACGCGTGTGTGTACACACACGCATGTGCATATAGGTGCATGTTTGCATCACATGCATGATAAACTCAGAAGTTTATCTTTACAACACAAGTAGGAAGAAAAAGATTATTGTTACTGAGAAAATTTCTGCCCGGGTTCACCCCCATTTTACTGGCTAACCATTTTCAGGGAACAAACAGGTTCCCTAGTTTCCCGTGAAGTTTCTAATGGAGACATCTTTGCAATGTAAGAAATATAAGCAGAGGTTGGTACATCTGCAACTTGGGTTCACGTGCTGAAAATTCACCTTTAGAAAAATGAGATGTCTTCTAAAGCCGGCCACAGTGTCCTGGAGGCCCAGAAAGAAACAAGTTTCACCGAAGCCACCTGCTACCAAGATGCGTCCCTCCCTAGGAAGGACTTCCTAAGACACTTAGCTAACTTCCCTCGCAGAAATACAGGCACAGCACAGGGACTGTCAGTCTCTGGGGTGGGGGGCGGGGGGTGTCACACTACACCTTCTCGGGTGGGGCTCTGAGGTGTGTTGGGGGACATGTCCTCAGGATGTGCAAACAGAGTACAGCTAGCTCGTGCCACTCGCCACACACGGCAGCCTGCGAGGCCAATCCATGCACCTCCATCTAGACGCCCGGGACCAGAGTGAGGAGGAAGCACGAGGAATCAGAAGCTCAAGAACAAACCACAAGGGCAGCCAAGCGTCCCCCAAACGTCTGTCCTCAGGGCAGAATGTCACACATTCCCCTAAGGGTTGGGGAATGTGTGTGCCTGGTGGTGGGGGGGAACAGGACTGATAGGACTTGGCTGAAGCTGAAGCTGGTTACTCCCACATCTCTATGAGGCCCCGGGGGAGGCTCCCACTGGAATTCTGCAGATTAATAAGATGAACGGGGCTCCTTCGAGAGCAAGCCACTGGTCCAGGGCTGCTCCTGGAATATATGGGAGTCGCAGGTGCTGAGTGTCCGTGGTTGGCACAGGGAAGGCTGGGGGTGAGCGGGGCACTTGCAAGGGACAGGGGCTGCCACCTTAGGGCCCGAGGTGTGGAAGCTGCAGATAACGAGGGACATGCCCCTCTCAAGAGGAAAGGGACCTGGTAGGCCGGCTACACAGTCTTGCAACGACCCTCGAATGTTTCTGCAAAATGCACATTTCCAGGCTCTGCCCTGACCAGGCCAGGGGAACCCCTGCATGCTGCCCGCTCAGCGTTTCTGACAGTGCCGAGGCTGGAAGGGGAGCCTGTGTGTCCTACCCCTGCCCGCACCCCAGGATCGAAGGCTGAGACACACAGTGCCCCGGCTGGCAGGGGCAGTGTGGGACCGACCTCTCCCTCCAGAGCCACAACCGTGTTTAAAAGGAAAAGGGGGCGGGGGGGAGAATCACACTAATTTAGACCCACTTGGATGACTGTTTTATTCATGCTATTTCCAGGAAGGGATGTCAGAGCTGGACCAGTCTAAACTCTTGGAGGCTTTTCTTGGCCACAGGGGTGCTGCTGGCCGCTTACGGGTCCTCAATGTCGAGAAACTCCTGCTTGGGGGGCGCCGCTCCACGGTACCACGCACAGGAGCCATCGCTCCTCTTGATGCAGGCGAAGAACTTGGCCTGGTGCCCATTGATGTTCTTCTCCGTGACCCAGTCCATCCAGAGGCACTCGTCCGGGGAGGAGATGTAGCAAGGGATCATGG